CCTAGAGGAGTGTGCATGCGCTTGCATCACTCTCTCTTCAGCAGGCTGTTGTAGTAGTGCCAAGCAGGCAACTTCTCATCAACCACGCTCATTGCTTCTGCGATTCAGTGGCACTTCCAGTCAAAATGCATTCCCTGTTCTTCGCTCATCTTCCCCAGAATCTGCACATGCTGAACTCTCTGATGGTAAAAAATTAGCAGGCTGGGCCTATTAAATCCTAGACTGGCAAGGATTTGTGGGGATATCTGTCTTAAGGATAACAGGAATCATCCAGATAGCCCAGGTTCCCCACAAGGCTTGCACCTGCAGGGGCTCTGGAAACACATCCACTCACTCTGCAATCAGCCACTTCCCAGTGATAAAAGGGAAAGCCTGTCTTAGGACACTGCCTTCGGCTTTTTCCTACCCTTGTTTGCAAAATCACAGAATCAGAATCGTAGAATAGCTTGGGAGAGAAGGGACCTTAAAGTTCCCACACCCCTGCCATGGGCAGGGACGCCTTCCACTAGACCAGATTTGTTTTAGAGCTCCCACCCAACCTGGCCTTGAACACTTCCAGGGATGGGGCATCCCCAACTTCCCGGGGCAACCTGTTACAGTCCCAGTTATCTTCCGTATTTTAAGTCTGCTCGGGAAATCTCCCATTGAAGCCCCGAGCGCCGCCGGGGCCGGGCTGAGGGCGGCCTGCAAGGCGGGCAGGGCCCACAAGATGGCGGGCGCGCTCCGCGGCCGGGCGGCGGCGGCGCGGGGGGGGCGGCCTGGCAAGGGGAGGGTAAAAATACACCCCGGAGTGTCACCGCCAGGCTGAGAACAGTCTGGCAAATACACCGTACCAGCCTGCGCTCAGATCCCTTCCAGAAAGTTCCGTTTGGAGTAGAGAAGACTGAGAGGGGATCCCATTAATGCATAGGTGTCTGTCTCAAAGGCAAGAGGATGGTGCCGGACTGCTGTCGGTGCTGCCCTGTGACAGGATGAGGAGCGATGAGCTAAAACACAGTAAGTTCCACCACAACACGAGGTAGAACTTCTTTATGTACTGGAATAGGCTGCCCGTGGAGGTTGTGGAGAGTCCTTCTCTGGAGAGGCTCCAAATCCACCTGGACACGTTCCTGCGTCACCTGCTCTAGGTGACCCTGCTTTGGTAGAGGGTTCAGACTGGATGGCCTTCAGAGGCCCCCTCCAACCCGAAAATGTCTGTGAAATACTGAAAAAAAAAAAAAAAAAAAAAAGATATCAAACACCCACACTCCCAGCATGGGATACAGCCCTGTGTCCCACGTCAGGCAGGCTGGACACAAAAATGGGGGGCAGAAAGGTCGTGAGGGGCTGCAGGGCAGCTGCTGGACAGGGAAGTGTGGGGCAGGTGGGCAGCAGAGCCTTCCACAGGACAGGGATAACCCAGCCTTCACCATGATTTATGTTTTTAAACAGATCTGTTTTTAATACACAACCAATTATAATGATTTTGGGAAGCAAGGGCTTCCATGAAATTGGGGCTGCCTTATATCACAGAATAATCTAAGTTGGAAGGGACCCACAGGGATCATCGAGTCCAGCTCCTGGCCCTGCACAGGACCATCCCCAAGAGTCCCACTATGTGTCTGAGAGTACTGTCCAAATTTCCTGAACTCTCTTGGTGCTGTGACCCCTTTCATGTTGCTTAATCGTATCCCAGCCTTCTCCCCATGGCCAGATGCTGCAATGGCTCAAGCTGAAGCCTCCCTGTCACAGCCCCAGCAGCATCCTTTGGTGCAGGGTACAGGGCATGTGTGCTCCTGAGCAAAGTCACAGGCAGGCCCCCAAAAAACCTCTGGAAAGCTTCTGCATGGCTACCTTGTGACAGGGATCCCTGTCTCCAACTCATCATTTTGAACATCTATTTGTCAGTGTGTTGCCTGGGTGATGTAAGGCTGTCTCCACCCTGGAGTGCAGAAGTTCTTGGTGGGGGTCCTTGCTGCCCCTTCATGTGGGGACCTTTTGGCAAATGGAGCTGGAAGTGCCATCTATTCCTGGGATTGCAGTAATTCTGGGATGCTTCTTGCACATACAGGTGGTCTGACAAGAAACAGTGACTCTCGCAACTTCAGATGCACCTGTGAATTCCCCATGTTAAAGGGCAGCTGTGCTAATGAGTTGTATCTCTGTATCTCAGTGAAGAAATCTATTGTGGTTGTCTTCTGCTGGGATCCTGTTCTCAAAAAATCACAATATCTGGAACAGACTTAGAGGAGTCTGACTTTTGAACCAGCCTGAAACCCCAATGCTGTGAAACCTGGAGCACTTGTAGGATTTAGCTTGTGACAGGCTCCTCAAAAATACCCCCAAGACCATGCCTTTGTAAAAAAAGATGGCACTTGCTTGGGCTTACTATGGTTAAGAGCTTCCCTTAGTCCTATTCTTCTACCCCTTCATCATCAGTAACACCACTTCTCCTCCTCCTCCTCCCACAGGGTTCAGCTTGGAGAAATCCTATTCACTGACAACATCCTAGGAGAATGTACAGACTGTATCCTCTCCAAAAACATGAGCAAGGAAACTAGAAGGTACTAGAGGGGATGGGTCAACCTCTGTTTAACATTTCATGGCTTGTTGTTTGGTTTGGGTTTTTAAAAATTATTTTGTTGTTTGTTTTTTATCATGAGAGCAGCTCTTGTCCGCTTGGTCTTCCCCGTGTGATTTCCCCCTCCAGGCTCATACCTCCATTGATTGGTGCAAGCAGCTCCTTGTGCGTTCAGGTTCCGTTCTTCTGAGGCACCAAACTTTCCCCTCATAAACTGCAAGCACTCCATGTGGCACTCAGGGAGTCAGGCATTTCAATGCTCAGAGTTCCTGCATACTTAAATACCTTTTAGGCACTATTTCTTAATCTCAAGTGTTAAAAAAAATGCTAAATTCAAGTGGAAAATATAGACGGACTTGTTAAACATTGGTCCCTCTGTGGCTTGCCTAAAGGAAGGAATTATATTGAGATTTTTTCAAGTCAAACTATTGCACAAACACATTGAAGGGAGGTACATAAGAAAAGACCTTTAATGGAACACTTTACCCCTATAGAGAATCTGCTGGAACAGAAGTCTGATGATATGCAGAAAAATTACCTCAGTGTTTCAAGATTTTTGGTCCATGTAGAGTGAAGAATAAACAAGGAAAAAAATCTGCTCCAACCAAGCATGCTAAAGCATAACCCTCTCTGCAGATGTCTCCTCATAACAGTCCAAGCCCATGAAAGGACTGGCATCAATAGATGCTGAAGCCCACTGAAGGCCTTTAATGTAGCAAGTCAATGAACTTCTGGCTTTTCTGGAAAGTCAGCTGGATTGCCAGGGTAACCACATCACAAAAGGATGCAGGATGGAAGGATACAGACATTTGCTGAAAAGTTCTATGGGCTTGACAAAATTAAATGAAACGGGATGTCCTAGAAAACAGCTTTCACATTCATCATGTCTCTTGGCTGGATTCCACAGCATTACAGAAACATCTCTACAAGAATTGATTAATTTTCACATTCTGGGCCCTGGAGAGCTTCCCATGCTGCTCAGAATAGGTAGGGTTTTTTTGAGTACAGGCCTAGAGGTGAGATCTAAGCCAGCTGGGCAGGGCCAACATCCTTCAGTTACACATTGCCATGCATATGACTGAATCCTGCCTCAACAAGCTGAAAGGAAAGGGAGTAAAAGGACAATTTGCTAATTTTATCCACATTTAGCAGCAGGATATGCAGATAAACTGTGGGGACAACAGTAAGCTAATCTGAGACAGAGAGCAAAGGTAAATCTTTTCTCTGAGACAAAGAATAACCTTCATCTGGGCAATGACTAAACAAATGGATCCAAGCTACAGGGTAAGGTTAAAAGCAACATTCATCCAGAGTTTAAAGAAGTTTTAGACTCATGCGTTCAGTTCAGACTAAAACATGGGGCTCTTAAGTTCTAAAACTAAATGTTTCCTAAAGTCTGGGTGAGTTCCTGCCAGACTCTGTTTGCAACTGCAGTCTTTGCAGAAAAGCCTACCAGTGCCTGCAGGACTTCACCACTTCCATCTCTCCAGCTAAAGCCTTATTCTTCTTACACCCTCTGTACTTTCCTGTGTTGGAGCTCTTTGCTCATGCAGATACTTCTGCTGCTTTCTAGAGGTATGAGGACTTCAGGAAACTGGTTGGAAAACTTCTTGGAGTGTGTCCGCCAAAAACCCCAAATCTAAAACAAACACGACCATCCTCGCCCTCCAACACTTCTTATTCTTCAAAAGGTTTTTTTCCCCACATAAAAGTTACTTCAGGAGATGTCACTTCAAAACCCTGCTCTACCTCTTAAGTTCCGTGTTCTAGAGAGTCCATGAACCAGGTTAATGGTTTGTGGAAATGGACAATAATACCATGACAACAGGATGACAGCTCCACCCCTTCATTCATAGAATCACAGACTGGTTTGTGTTGAAAGGGACATTAAAGGACAACTAGTTCCTACACCCCTGCCAGGGGCAGGGACAGCTTTCACTAGATCAGATTGCTTCAAGCTCCATCCAGCCTGACCTTGAACACTTCCAGAGATCCTCAGCTTCTCTGGGCAACTTGTTCCAGTGTCTCACCACCCTCACAGTAAAGAATTTCTCCCTAAAACATCTAATCTAGACTATCCTCTTTAAACTTAAAACCGCTCCCCCTTGTCTTATCACTACAAGTAAAAAGCCTCTTTCCCTCTTTTTATAAGCCACTTTCACAGAATCACAGAATCACAGAAATTCTAGGTTGGAAGAGACCTTTAAGATCATCGAGTCCAACCCATGTTCTAACACCTCAACTAGATCATGGCACCAAGTGTCACATCCAGCCTTTTTTTAAACTCTTCGAGGGATGGTGACTCTACCACCTCCCTGGGTAGATGATTCCAGTATTTGACCACTCTTTCTGTAAAATACTTCCTCCTTAATTCTAGCCTGTATCTCCCTTGGTGCAGCTTGAGACTGTGTCCTCTTGTTCTGTCTGTTGTTGCCCAGAGAAAGAGACCGACCCCCAGCTCACCACAGCCACCCTTCAGGAAGTTGAAGAGAGTGATTTGAGTACTGGAAGTCTGCAATGGGGTCTTCCTGTAGCATCCTCTTCTCCATCAAGAGAAGAGCAATCCCAGCTCACTCAGCCTGTCTGGGCAGGAGAGGTGCTCCATCCCTCTGATCATCTTCATGGCCTCCTCTGGACTGCCTCTAACAGGTTCACATCTTGTGCTGGGAACCCGAGCTGGATGCAGCACTGCAGGTGGGGACTCAAGAGAGCAGAGGGAAGGGGCAGGATCACCTCCCCTGACCTGCTGACAACACCTTGTGATGCAGCCCAGGATGTGTTTGGCTTTCTGGGCCGCAGGTGTTCACTGTTGGCTCCTGTCCAGCTTTTCATCCACGAGAACCCAAAAGTCCTTTTCCACAGGACTGATCTTCATGAGTTGTTCTGCCAGTCTGTACTGTCTGGGATTGCCCTGACCCAGCTGCAGCGCCTTGCACTTGTTGAACCTCAGGAGATTCTTATGTTCCCACTTCTCCAGTTTGTCCAGGTTCCTCTAGATGGCATCCCTTCCCTCTGTTCCAGCTGCACCGCTCAGCTTTATGCCATCTGCAAACTTGCTGAGGGTGTGCTTGGTCCTACTGTCATGAATAAAGATACTGAAGAGACAGAGCCTCAAGGGGCACCACTCAGCACCAGCCTAGGCATAGAATCTTTGGCCACAATTCTCTGGCTGCATCCACCCAGTCAATGCCTTATCTAGCAAACAGTCCACCTTTCAAATCCATGTCTTTCCAATTGGAAGACAGGGATGCTGTGTGGAAATCACTTGCCTTGTTTCAGCTCTGACTTTGTACCTTGCCCTTTGGAACCAGGAAAAGTGAGCAAACTTGTCTCAGGGCTTGAGAGTATAAAATACTTGCATCATCCCTGGCAGATGGCCAATAAGCATGAAAGCACTGGGACCCCAGAAAAGGGAATAGGAGATAAGAAATTCCTGATTTCCACCACCAACTGGTCTTCTGGAAAAGGAGCCTTTTTAAAATTAGAAAATTTTTAAAATTAGATTAGGGCACTTCTCGAGATACAGACTGCAGGTATTTTGCAAAGACGGCTTAGTGTGTTTCCATCAATAGCTACAGCAGATACAAACTTGTACTTTTGGATGAAAGGTACTTTATCAAAAAGTTCCTGACAAGCTCTTATCTACACAGCACATCACTGACATACCCATCCCATGTGAAATCTGTGCAAGAAAGACAGCGTTTATTTTGTCAAATTATAGGTAGGAAGCACCCTCCAAGGCATCCTGCACCACAGATTATCAATGCAGGAAAATACACTGAGCCTTGTGGCAAAGGCAATACAAGGAAATGGATACTAGGGAAACTAGGAGGTGTGAAGAACAGGCAAAACCAAAGCTTATGAAGATGGAATTAAAAAAAAAAAAAAACTGAAAAAGGAAACTACTTATCCTGGCTACCACTGAGCATCACAAATTTTTATTCATTCTCTCCTAAAATGAAAGGTGCTGATGCCAATCTGTACAAAGAGCTTGTGGACTGAAGAAAGGTTGTTCTTGTGTTGGCAGTAGAGCAAACATTAGCAGAGCCCCAAGGAGGTGAAAGACACAGTCCTTCCAGAAACAGAGGTCACAGGAGTGTGCCAGCAATGAGGCTGTCATTCTGATGCCTCCCTTCCACTTTCTGCTAAGTGCTGTTTTTCTCTGTCTCTGGGAGGTAAAGGACAGATGGGAACCATTAGATCTTCACAGCTCCTTTGGGAGCTGTTAGTCAAGCCTGTCACACATCACAGTCCTTCAAACATCACCTGTTTACCTTGCCTGAGACTCGACTGCAGTGTCCCTCATGCTTTTAACTGTGCTTAGTGCACGCCCTTCAGAAACAGGCCCGTCTTGGCTTGAGCACATCTGGAAAATGTTCCAACTATCCTGACAGCTTGTTATGGTGATTAACCACCTTCATTCCAATAAATTTGTGCCCAGTTTTTCATATGAATGTATCTGATTTCAGCTTGCTGAAACACATTCCCATAATTTACTAGATTAAAGAGCCTTTCAGTACCTGGTATTTTTCTTCCAAGGAAGTTCCTTCACCATCATAATCAATTCTCTGCTCAGCCTTTTTTGATAAACTAAAGAGACAAAGTGCTCCATGTCTCCCATTGCAAAGCATTTTCTTCCGGCTCTGAATCATTTTGTGTGGCTCTAATGTTCCACCACCCATTTTTCAACATCAATTTATAACGTGCAGGCCATCCCAGGGCTGGTCTCACAAATACAGTACATGCTTATATCCATTTGCTTCTCTCTTAGGACTCTTAAAAAAAAAAAAAAGAAAAAAAATAAATCTATTCAGAGTCTGAGGCATATGCAAGCCTGCTTCCTTCTGTCTGGCATTTGAAGCAACCACAAAACAGCCATCAGTCACCTCTGCTGCTGCCATCTCAGCAGGTAAAGGGGAAGCATGACAAGGCTGTCTTCCTTCTTGCCCGCGACATAATTCAGCACTGGAGAGCACGGCTGCCCCTGTGCAGGGTTCTGCTGTGAGCACAGATCGCCCCAGGCACACCCAGACCACATCCATAGGGACAAATGAGCCAGTGGGCACAGATTAGCTGTGAACAGCTGTTAAACCCTCTGACCCATCGAAGTGTAGTGACTGCAGACCTTTTATGCCCATACCCGGGAATTGTTTGGGAAAATGCCACCATCCTGAGGCCAACACTCTGCCAGGGACCAGTCTCTCCATGGACCCAGCTGAGCTCACTATCTGGGAGTACTCCCCACTCTGCCACCTCCTTTATCAATAGAGGTAAAATCCATCTGAACACAGAACCAGCCTCCAAAGAGGGAGAAGGATGAAATGGCTCCCTCATTTTCTTCTTCCAAACAGGTCGGCAGCTTTTCTAAGACCAGGGAGGCAGCAACAGGCTGGGGCATCTGGCAGCTGCATCAAACCTCTCAATGCAACCTCATGCCTCTCCACAAGGGAAGGGGCACAGGGCGAAAAGGCAAGAAGGAAAAAAGGCAGTGAAGGCACTTTTGCATAAGGTCAGAGAGGAGAGCTTGTGTCTAGGGCTTGCATCACCATGCAGCTGGGATCCAACCCAGGCTGGCAACCTCACCCAAGCTGATGCTTTAGCCATGGGGGGACCCTGACCTGCCTGTCCTGCACCAAACACCCAGTGGGCACCAGCACCGTGGAGTGTCCTCATCACAGGCCTGTCCTGCAGTTGCTCATCAGAGCTAGAACAGCAGTCACCCAGGAATCCAATGCCAACAAAGCTGGAGGCACTTCACACAGATTATATATAGAAAAGGTGCCCAGGATGTGCCTAAATAAAACTTTGTCTTCTGTTCCAGGGTTCTCAGATCAGGAGGCTGAGGAGAGAGTGATTTTGGGAAAACATAATCTCAACCCCAGCTCATCAGAAGGGAACAAAAGTACCTGGTGGCTAATATTTTATTAGGTTTTGATTAGAACAATAGGGACTTTCTTTCTTTGCTACAGAATTTTCCCCTTTCTTGTATCTCTCAGTGGCAGAAAATGCTGAATCACAAACCTGGAGCTTTAAAGAAAAAGTATTTCATATGCAGAAGAAACATATCTTACATAATTTCATGCTTCCTGCTCTGCTCTGGTGTCACGTTCCTCATTTTCAGGCTGTTTTAAAGGTCAGCTTCACAGAACAAATCCTGACCTCAGACATGGGAAATATGCTGCCTCATCACTCCAGGATCTTTTCTCACATGATTAGTCCCAACATTCCTGCAAGTAGAACAGTCCCCACTGCCACTGCTGCAGACATGAAACAAACAAACAAAACAATCAAACAAACATAAAAGAAAAAGGCAAGATATTTTTTTCTCTTATTCTGAAAGTTAATGCTCACCAGCATCACAGCCTTATTTTACAGGCTGGGGGCTACTTCAGCACTGTAATGCTATTGCCATCTACAGACAAGCAATAGTCTTAACAAACATACATACAAGTTAAAGTAGGAATATATGCCTAAACTGACAACTGTTTTTGAAAAAGCCTGAGAGGACTTTTATATAAAATAGAATAAAATAATAGAGATTATAAGATAAAATAAATATAAAATAAAATATAATTAAATATAAAATAAAAGAGAATTTTATTTAAGATTTTCCAGTGGCTAATATATAGGATCTGAGCAAAAGTTAATTGAAGACAGCAATTAGTCCTCATGGTGCTGGTTTTAATACTGATGATGTATTCATTCAACTGGCTCCATTTTTCTGGAGATTCTTATTTTGATACTACAATTTGAGCAGACAGGAGAGGTCACATTACAGGGCTGATCCAGAAGACACACATATACTCTGTTTATTTTGAACAAAAGATCTGAATTTATTTGAAATTACTAATATCAATTACCAAAGAATGATGGAAGGCACAATGATGAACAAGCTCCAGTGCTACAGGAAAGCTGAATATTAATTTACTTGCTTAATAAAGTTGAAAATATAAGATTTCAAAATTAATAAAAAACCAGTCAGTTATTCTATTGGTTATAAATGACAAATATATACTGAAAAATATTTTTAATGAAGTATTAAAATTACTGCAAACTCTTTTTAGTGTGCTTAGGCCTCTAAGAAGCAATATGGCTCTTATTCAGTAACCTGGTGGACTAGTTTTCTGTCAGTATATGTAAGAAATACAAAGCAAAACTGAAGCTCCCACTCACTGGGAGACTCCACAGATGATATTTAAAAGAAAGCATACCACCACAGCAAGAAGAAAAATGGGGTTTCTGTTAAATTATAACTAGCCAGACAGTTATACTGCTCTCAGGTTCATGATAAAAGCAGAAAGGTTGCCTCCCATGCCTGCAGAGTTCACTGCCAGGTGGCTCAAACCAGGCATAGTTTACTTGTCAGACTTGGCCTCTTCTTGTTGATCCCTGCTGAACCAGTGCAAGGGAAATGCCCAGGCCCCGAGAGCAAAGACTGCCCCACAGCCTGTCATTCTTGGGAGGGAAAGAAGACAAAAGAAAAAAAAATGCAGTGAAGGCATAGGACCCATCTCAGTCCCTTGCCAGAGGAAAGGCATTGTAAGACTGAACCCTGAACAAGTCATATGAAAAGAACCAAAGCACAAAGTCCTCTAACGAAGTCAGAACAAAAACGTTTGGATAGGATTTCTGGACGAAGGAGCCAGAGGTGTTTGTGAATAAGCACAAGAATAGGCACTTCCAGTGACCACAGAACTAAAAACAAAAGCACTTTTGTGCACTCCCGGATTACTTGCTCTTATTTTCTCTTACAGTCACATGCTTATGTAGGCCTGTACTGTTTGAAAACATGATTTATTAAGATGCCTTAAATTGCAATCAAGTATTGTGCTGTTAATAGCAACTTTGTTTTAACTTTCCTGTTCTTAATATAAATTTACATCATTTTAATCTCTTATGCAGCCAAATCCCCACTGATTCTTTTAAAAGTTTTTCTAGATATGTACGCTATATTTCCAAAGTGGTTCAGATTTATGGGCTTCCCCCCCCTCCCATCATTGTTTCATTGGTTTGGGGACAACCCCTTCTTTTCAGCAGATTGAAACATCCAGTAATGTGAAACAGATCTGGTGACCCTATAGTATTAAATCATGCTTTGTGGTGCTTTCTTTATTCCTGCTCCAAGAGACTTTATGCATTAGTGAGTACATAAAATTGCACCAGAGACTGAATGCATATTGAAAAGCAATAAATGATTCCATATGATCTTAATTTTTCAAAGCAGTGTACCACTGTTTTAACAATAGTGTTTAATTTTCTAATTAAAGGAAGTTTTTAAAATAGCCCTTCTAACCCATAGATATGGGAACACTCTCACTTTGGATAGATATTCTCTCCAGCTGAGAGATTTGGGTACACCAACAATTTTCACAGTCAAATGGTGTCCTTGGTTAGCAAGCTAGCAAGGGTGCAATTAGCCACGGCAGTTAATTTCTTCCTTTTATTCAAAAAAGCTTGTGTCATCATTACCGCGAAGACACAGGTCACAAAGGCTCCGTGAGCAAACTGAATAGCACACGTTCCTCTCTAAGCTTCACATACTTGAACATCTGTCAGACCTCAGCTAGAATTCCTCCCCCAGTTTTCCCTGTTTACTTCCAAGGAAACAAGTTCATTTTGGCTAAACAAGGTTTATAATACCTCTACCTATATTTTGAACTAGACATGCCTATTTTGAAGAGTAGTCACTGTGTTTAGAAGCAGCACACTCTCTAGCAGTTTGGCATGTATTCAATTAGATGGGCTCAAAAAATAAAATTACCCCCAAAAAATACATTTAAAAACCAACAAAATCAGGTCTCACTCTTGCTGTCATTGCCTCTCCATAGATAAACTGGCAGTGAATTACTTTAGTTGAAGTTTTGGTTTGCTAAACTGAAGGAAATGATTTTGCAAGGCAGGCAAGGGTGTGTGCAAATGGAAGAATTCAACTTTTCAGATTCCAGGAAGAGTTTGCAGGGCAGTTGCTATAACTGCATGCCCTGAGCTTGTTTGAGTCACGTTCACATGAGCTGCAAGGAATGTAAAGTCTTTAAGAGCAGAAAAGTACCGGGACAGAACCGAGGCACTGAAGTTCAGAACTGCCCTCCCAAAATCCCCTGCTCCTAATTAGATGCCTAATCCTGGAGGCAATAAAGGCCTATTTTTAGGTTGTCAGCATCTCAAGATACAGGATATTCTGCCTCTCACATACACACAACCACCCCAAGTTGGGCAGCTCTGTGCCTGTCTTCCCCCGGACCCAGTGCTGGAATTCGTAGCTCGGACACGTTTCCATGCAAGACGAGACCCACGGCCCCGGCTGCATAGCCTGCTCAGAGCACATCCAGCACATACCAGCAGGCTCTGGCTTCTTAGAACACGCTGCTGGGATCGCTTTTCCAGGACGGGACGGCGGGCAGGAGGTGCCCGGCGCTGTCCCATCGCTCAGCGGCTCCACAGGCACTCGGGAAACACGAGCCCCTTCCCATTCCTCCGACTTGATGCAGCTCCTGAGTCAGCAGTTACCCAGTTCCTCCGAGGTAGGAGAGAGAGAACCAGCTGCAAATGCTTATAATCAACTTCTCCACCATGTGCTAAGCCGCTGACTGCTTTTGCTTAACACTTCAGCAGCCCTTTTGAACCCTTCCTCAACTCCCCAGGGGAGATTTCCTTCCCTCTGTGTGCCTTGCAGTGCCCCTCACACACACCAGGAGACACGAGGTCATTTTCTCCTTTTCTGCCCGCCGGGGTTCAGATGCCTGGCTCTGACCTTCCCGAGGAGTGTTTCACCGGGGAAGCAGCCCAGCCTGACACGCACTCCATTTCCAAGCAGCCTGTTGAACCCGTACTGCTGCTTGGGGGAGAGGGTGGGGCTTCGGGATTCACGGGAGCAATCAAGGAGAGGCCATGACCCAGCAATAATAACATCGCCATGGGGAAGGGAGGGGACCAGCCTTGGATTTCAGGCCCCTTTTGAAAGTGTGCTCTATGTACTTGACATCAAACATCTGTCAGAGAAGAAAACACAACGTCCTGGGAAGAGGACCAGGAGCCACATCTTCAGCTCCTGAACAAGTGCTCTGATCACTGGAAATACAGGATGACAGCATGAAGGAGGTGCTTAGACTTTTTCCTCCAGGGGCCACGTACGGGAGAAAATAATTAATTCTTTGGAGGAAGCGAAATAGGCCGTATTGGGCACCTGCTGTCAAAAGGAGAGGCCAGGCTGCGAGCCTGAGAAAAGGTAAATCCTTTCCCGCAACCCTCATTCTCGTCACCTGATCCCCGATCAAACCTCCTGCTGGACAAGCGCGCCTTCTGCTTGCAGGTAGAGGGAAGCAGGGCTGTGAGAGGTAGTTATTTTAGGGCTGTGCTGTGTGAGCACCACCCTAACGAAGCAAGGATCGAGGCTGTAGCTCCGCACAGCACCATGCGGGAAGGAAAGTCACCTCGGGGACGTTTTTGGTCCCGCGAAGACCACCGACACTGACAATCGACATTGTTTCAGAGGTGTGGCTTCCAGGTCTCCCTCTCGGTGCCCTACCTCTAGGCATCTGGCACACTGGAATGGCACACCTGGCTGCCAGACACGTACCCACCCAGTCCCTTCCCCTCCCTCCGCACAAGCTCTCCGCCGCCTCCAACCCACATCTGGAGGGCACCTGCAGCCTGGCACAACTTAGCTTTGAGACAAGGGGATCGGGGAAAGCCGAGACATGGTTTTGCTTGGTCCTCAGTGCAGCAGTACCTTCTGGCTGAGGCAATTTCCGTGCGAGCGCCGCAGCACCTAGAGGAAAGGCTTTTCTGGCGGCAGGGCTGCAGGCAGGGCCCGGAGCGAGGGGCAACTCCGGGGAGGGGGCGCGGAGCCCGCCCGGACCCCCGCCCCGCGCCGCATTTTACTCGATTGTTTATTATTTTCCGAGGGGCGGCGGCGGGGCGGAGGCGCCGGCCAATGGGAGGCGTCGCTGGCCTGACGGGCGACGGGCGGCGGCCAATGGGAGGCGAGGGCGGGCCCCGGCGGTCACGCGCGGCCCCGGAGCATGACATCATTCAGTTCGCACGGCGCAGCCTAGCTTGGTGGGGGCGGGACCGCGGCGGGGGCGGGGCCGGCGCGGAGGCGGGGCCTCAGGGGGCGGGGCCAGCGCAGCCGCTCCCCCTCCCCGCGCCGTGTGGGAGCAGGAAGGTGCTAAGTTATAATGATGGAGCAATTAAGCGATAAGTGGCTCTAATTAACCCCACGTGGGGGGAACCGAGACGGGCTTAAGCGGACACGGCCGCGTTGCACAACGAGTCAGTGGCAGGGCAGAACAGCGTTTGGTCATTCAGACCAGCCCAAGCTAAGGGAGAGAGCTGTCTATCTTTACAAGTCAAAATTCTTTCATATAATCCAAGATGAATAATACTAATAAAAGTGGAATTTCTTGGTGTATCTCAGCAATTTGACTGCACCCTAACAGTATAAACTCAAAAATTGCATGTACCCCCAAGTATTTAAAAACTATGAAGCAAGCCTTTGAGCAGTGTCAGCCTCAAGAACAGTTTTTTTGAAAGGGTTTAAAACATGTAATTAGTTTTTGCTTTTTTGCCACCTCTTACCTTTCTTCCTGGCCCTCAAAGTCACATCCGTGGCACATCAGGAACTTGGCTATTGGTTTACAATGGAAGCTGAGATGCTCCTTCAATGGGACATTAGGAAGAGGGATATCAGGGGAAATACCAGTATTGCAGGCCTCATAAATAATGCTGAGTCTAACTTGAAGCTGACTTGAAGTGATCTTTAAATTGCTGTTCATCACTTCAGGGAAAATTTTATAGTTAGAAATCTGTGGCCATCTTTGGCAAACCCATCAATTTCCATGGCACGATTTGGATCCTTGTTCTGTGTCTGCCAGCCAGCCAATCTTTCCATAACAACTGCGAAACCCATTAGCCAGTTTTAGCCAAACTGGGCCAAAAAGTTAGTCTCAGGGTATGAATTTGGCTGGTTTATAAATGACATTTCTTTCTAATCATCAGCATCCCGGTTGCTCTGAATCAGCCACAAAGCCTATTGCCTGTTGCCCAGTCTGTGTTTAAAGGACACAGTAGGGAACTGTGGGAAGAACAAAAACACATAAAGGGAGCCACTCTCTCACGGTGTGACTGGGAGGAGCACATAGGGTTATTGCAGGGGACAAACTGCTCAAGGACCAGGCTGCAGGTGCCTCACAAAACAACCCATGATATGCTTGTTTGTGTGAGGTCCACGCAGACAATGCAGCCGTTGTTTAACGTAAGTGCAATATAACATTCATTTACTGAGCGGCAGTACACTTCACAGGAGATGTCCATAATGCTGTACTGACAAGAAATCCCAGGTCTCCCACCCCCCCCATACGACTTTATCTCCAACCCTGCTTCTGCAGTTACGATATTTGTGTGAGAGGTGAAGCCAGAAATGTCACCTGCACTTCTCTAGCTGCCATGTGACTGTGACCCTGCCAGATCCATATAATCCAGACACCGTGATAGGCACAGGTTCCCCACATCAGCCTGAGCGGCCATAGTAGATAAAAGGAGAGGCAGATGCAGCCCTGCCCTAAAACACTTGCAGCCTAAGTAGGCAAAGTAAGTGAGCTGGTTTTCAAATGGCCTGAGGGCTGGCCTAACTTTATTCCTGTTGAAGTCAGTGATAAAACTCCCATAAATTAAGCCTTTTGGAAAATCCCACCCTTGGGGCATGAAAGTACTTAAAAGAGGAGACTGAAAATTGTGCAAGCTTTAGATTCAATTTTGATCGGTTTTTATGTGTATTTCAGAGGGCTAGCCATGGAATCACAATAAGCAGAGCTCCTGTGTCTTTCTGTTTTGCTCATGCACTTTTCATAAGCAAAATGTGTAGGAAAAATTATACTGTGGTTTTAATTACGCCCCTAAACTGCATTATCACGGGCACACACGTGCTGCATGGAGCTGTGAAGAACTGGTATCATGACGTGTGATAAAGGTTATGTGGCTGATATACCAGTGAATTCTGAAGAGGACAGATAATCTTGCTCAAGGCTGGCACTCAGGTGATCCAGTTTTATTTCTCAGTTCTGGCATGGGCTTCCTGTATGACCTCAGTACAGTCATGTAATTGTTCAGTGCCTCAGTCCATCATCTTTTTAATAGGGTTACTACTTATTTCCTTTCTCCCGCCCTCTCCTGCCTCACTTAGACTGCAATTCTGCCAGGGAGTGGAGCATTTCTTACCACGTGCAGGGCCTTTATCCAGTACAGTGAGACCTAATAGCAGTGCCTGTAGAGTAATGCAATGCCAATTATAAATGAAGATGATAATATCATTTAGGACTAGATTTGCTGCTTGCAACCCAGCCCAAGGTCAAAGTGTTATGCTTCCCTGGAACCTCAGGATGCGCTCCACGTGGAGGTTTCTGCAGTGGTCAAAATCAGGCCCAAGCAGTAGCTAGATTTGGGGAAGGTCTGAGCACCAGTCACGGTTCACAGGCGGCTTTCTATGGCTAACTGCTGAAAGCCACAAGGAAAGCCTCCTTGGAGATGTGGTGTTGGACTAAGCATCTCCTCACCACGTCTTTTTGTCTGAACTTGGTTTCTGGCTCTTGAATGCCACTGTGGTTTTCCTCCCTACCAACTGCTAAATCATATACATGAATGTATACAGTGTCACAATTGCAGAGTGGCTGCTGTCTTTTTGAGCTGCCTTGCATTCCTGTAGGGGCCATGTTACAACAAAAACCATGGCAAGGCACTCAACATGGTGACCCAAAATGGAGTTGCAGCCATTATTTCCATTACTCGAACTTGCATTCATTCTGATTAATTCAGTGTCTCCTGGTACATTTAGATAATCAGGGGTTAATTGTATGCATATTGAAATGCTGTCCCTTGTAATAAAATCACACTAAATTATTCCTAATTTCATTGGCTTTTGAATTCAAAACCTAACTAGACCCTTACGCCCTACTTAGCAGCAGTGTAAGGCACTGACTTAGGATCAGGGCCTTGATGTTTTCTAATAAAATGGAATGGTTTTCAAATCTCTCTACTTGTCTATAATGCAATACATCAGGAATAGTTTGATTACTCTGCTAATTCTATCCAGCAAAGCTTCAGAAGCACACTGCTTCTCCGTCCATGCTATTGTCTGTATCTTGTCGCAGAGACAACGCTACTGTTGGACTAAATCTAGTCCACAGTCTAGGTCTCTATCAAGCCAGGTGAGAACTGATACACAGATGTTGCCATGTGAAGTATTTATAACTACATCCATATTAATAGCTTTTATGTTCCTTGGTTTTGTGGTTCATCCCTTTATTCAACCCACAATTAAAATTTCCAAGCGAGCTACTTTGGAGGGCTTTCTGCTAGGGAAAGCCCCAAGGAGGAGGTACAGTGGTACTGTATTCACGTGTGGACATGTCTGAACATGTTCCTGGCATCACCCAACGGCACAGTGAAAGTTTTCAAAGAATTACTTAAATTCGACTCTATATTTTAAAGTTCACCAGAATAGCTCGTACACCAATAATTTATCACCAGTGAAAACAAGTACAGAAAAGAAACAGGCCTAATACAACCCTCGCAGAGATTTACCGAGTACTTGGGGAGGCTTGAGCGCTTTCCCCTGGGCCGGCCGGACAGGGCTCTGCAGCCGCAGCG